AATAAGTACTAAGAGTTGGTCCTGCTATGAACTGCACTGCATCATCTTAGCTCTTTATCAGTAGTCTCACAAACACAGAAATACCTACATATATGTACACGGGAACAAAGATACTGAGACACTCATTCATGTCTTTGTTAAATGAAAACTATTCTGGAAAATGGGTATCTTTCAAAATTGAGTTTTCAGTCCATAAACACAATATAGCCTTCCATTTATTTATGTCATCTCTCATTTTACTTAAAACATAAGTTTCAACAGAGTGCTTGAACATATTTCATTAGTTGTTTTGGATTTAATTATATTACATTAGTTTTGGTAAGTGGTAATTTAATTTTCATGCATTTTATTCATTTCATGTCATGTGAATTTTTCTTTTCCCATACTGTCTTCAAGTGTGTGTCACACTGTCCTACATTATTTTTTATAAAACAACCTTGCTAAAATTTTATATGTTGTTTATAATGACTTCATAAGAAACTTTTTCAAAGAATTTCCTCTTTATCTATTCATTGGGAAATTTGATTCAGTATTATTAATCTTTTCATCCTTAAAAGTTTGATATATTTACGATTATAGTTATCTTAGTCTACAGTTTTCTTTATGAGAATATTACTCACTGTGAGATGAAACTCTACACTGCTCAGTATCTTTTGATTTGTGTTGTTAAAAATGTATGTTGTGGCTTTATGTTAATTGCCTACTTCATATCATGTTCAAATGAAATGACCAAAAAAACCAAACAACTCATTTGTACTATCTGCACTGATTTCCTACTTTACATTCCTGATATTAGTTAACAGAGTCTTCTGTTTTGGGGGTTTTGTTTGTTTGTTGTTGGCTTGATTGGCCCCTCAACACAGAGGGATTATCAACTTTATTGATCTATGCAAAGAATGCAAAGAAAGTATTATTTTCCTTTAAAGTTTCTACAGTCATTTGCCATTGTTTTATCAATGTTAGTTCTTGTAATTACCATTTTCCTTCTTCTTTTTTTATTTTTCATTTATTTATTTATTTACATTATTGAGTATACAGTGAAAGAGAGCATATGGATCAAGAGGAAGGGACATGGCGTGGACCACCACTTGGTGACCATTGCCATTTGACAAAGTTACAACATGACAACATTGCAGACAGACCACACTTGCCCAGCACATTTTTAAGTTTCTAATGTTTCTTGACATTCTCCTTTGGGAAATTTCGTAAAGGATAAGAACTCATATAATGGTAGCCTAGGCTCTTTAAACAAGATAATTCTTTGGTTGGGGGGGGGCAATGGTTCCCTGGCGTCGGGCATTTTCTTTCTTCTAATTTCTTAGAATTTACTTTGCTATAATGATGGAAATGTATTGGCTTTTTTCTCTTTTGGATGTTGTTGTCATCTTTTTATTGAAAAAATTTATACAATATATTTTGATTATGCTTTGACTTCCTCCAACTCCTCCTAGATCTTCCCAACCTCCATACTTACCCAGCTCTGTCCCTCCTTCCATCTCTAAAAAAAAAAAAAGGGGGAAACAAAATGAAGAAAAAAATCCCACAAAATAGAAATCAAAACCAACAGATCACTAAAGAGACAAAAAAAGGCATGATGAAACAAAAAGTCTGCAAATATACCATTGTGTTCATTTTGTGTTGGCTAATTATTCCTAGCCTACCCTAAAGTACAGTTTATATAAGCAGTGAAACTTCATTGGATTAAAAGTGATTTTCTATTTGCTATTGGGTATCAGTTGTATATAGCTTCTAGGTTAAAGGTGGGATCACATGTCTACTCGGACCCTATCTACACTGAACACATGCCGGACTTGTGTATGCTGTCACAGTTCCTGTGGATTCATATGTATATCAGTCCTGTTGTGTCTGGAAAATCTTTTCTCTAGAATCATTAGTCACCTCTGTGTCTTACAATCTTGCCACCTTCATTTCTGGCTCTTATAATGTGTCCATCTCCCTTTCCATTTTTTAATCATGAAGTTGTGGAGAGTGACCAATATCTACATAATTTTCAAGTTGTTTTCTGCCCCCATAAGACTAGCGAAACTTAACCCAGATTCTAGGCCTTTCTATCTTCCTTTACTATAACTACCAGACACTGCTATAGGCAAAAGCATCCATAAATGTCAGAATCATTGCACCAAGTTTCCTTTTTTTGCCTGAAAATTGATACAGTAATTCTTTACTATCTTGAAAAAAAATCTATCTTCCAAAATATTTAAATATATATTTTATCTATGTGTTCTAGTTTTTATTAGAAAGTACTAGTAAAAATATTGAATCCTATTATTAGAAATTGGATTATGTCTTTAAATTTTCATATACAACCTGGATAAAGCATTTCTTGCTTGTCTGATCAATAATATAGAATTATACAAGTATCTCACTTAGGATGCTCCACTTCATATTATTATACAATATTTCTTTTCTACATTATGTCCTAACTGGCAATTTTTAGTTATCATCTTCTGTCATCTAACAAGTGTTTCTTTGCAGAATTACACAGAGCAATATATAAGAAACATTTCTTCAGCCTTGACTTGATAAGGTCTCTTTTCTTAGTAAGGTCTTTTCAGTTTTTAGTGTCATGGGAAAACAATGAAATGGAGCAGGCCATGATTTCAGGCTCACAGGAACTTCTGTTGCCAAATCAAATCATCTATCAGCAATGCATAATCAAGATGTATGAATCTCATGCAGTTGAAGATAATTCGATCTAAGCCACCACTTAGGAAAATGCTCATCTTTTAAAATACGTTTTTCAGTATTCTAGACTTTTCTATATGACCTGGTGATTCTGCAAATGGCTTTCTATTTATTTGTATTTACTCAAGTCTGGCCTTACAGCTACTACTTTATCAGTACAGTTCTTTCTAGACTCATTGAGAGTTTCTTGTTGATAAATCCAGTGGGTACCTCTTACATTGTGTCTGACAAAAAAGTCAAACCATAATCCCACTGGAGTTCTTCCTAAATCACATTGCCTTCTTCCCAGTGTCCTTCAGTCTGCCTCCTTTTCTTCGTGATATTTTGTATGTTATTGTTATTAACAAATAATAAATTGTGTCTATTTTATAACAGCCTACTTAGTTTTTAAATTGTTGAACATTTCAGAGGCTCTGCAATCATATATCTCTTTTAGGGTTCCAACAATTTCCATTACTATATACCAAAGACTACCAAATTTATTTCTCCAGAACTAGCCTGTCAGACACATATATTCTACTAATTAGTTAATATTTTCACATAACTCAGTACACATATCATAAAGGTAATAATATGTTTGGTGTTCTACTTGTGATTCCCAAAACTTTTCCCATTTCATACATAGCAGCATTATCCATTCAATTATTGCTTTTTTATTATTAATTTAGCCTTTCCTTCATCCATCGTATTGAAACTTGAGAAATTCCCATTGGTTATACCTCTAAAATATATCTCAAATCAGTCCACTAGCTCCTTGAGATGTACATATTATTCCCTCTGGTGTATACTTAACACAATTCAGATAGAACTTGTTACTAAGCTGTTCAAAGATATTAAGCAGAGATCTTAGGCATTCTTATTTCTCATTTCAAATCTCCTGCTTTCCATCAATTACAAGCCTTTAATAATAATCAGAGGCTTGAAAGATAGCTCAGTGGATAAATGTCATGTTCTGAAAAAATGCAGACTAGAGTTTCTATTTTCAATAGTACATAACAAAGCAGGGTAAGTATGCTAGTCCACCTGTAATGACAGCGCTCAAAGAGAAGAGATGGGATCCTTGGGGCAAACTGGATAGCTACATTAGAAAAATCTGTGTGCTGTGGGGGTCAGCAAGGAATTCTTCCTAAGTTTATAAAGTGGCAAGCCACCAACAAAGTTACTTAACATCAAACTCAAACTTCCACACATAGATATACATAAGTATATGTATACTCACATATGTGCAGACATACACATGAACACACATACTACACATACATACAAAACACAGTAATAAATTAGTAAACAAATCAATACAGGTTTAACAAGATCTACAGGTATTGATTTATCATAAAGATATTGTCCCATCCTGAAAAATCCTGATATCTATAGTTTAATATTATTGGAATATAAAAATTAACTTCAAATTTTATGCTTGAAAATGACAACTTTCAGAATACCCTTTTTCCATTTCAAAGATGTTTAACCATTAAACACCAAACATAATGAATTTCTTCAATAAGCTTTTATCCCTTTCCTCTAGCGGAAGAATTAGATAAGGAAGAAGCTTGCCAAGTTTTTATTTTGGTTTATCTACTATCAGAATTTTATTAATATTCAACATTTCTCATCAAAAAGTCAAGAGACAAAGCAAACAACTTTGGCCAAGCCAGTACACACCATCATTGTGTTGGCTAAACACTAAATAGCATTTCAGAAAAAGAAGTTTGTGTACTTTAATAAACCAGGAGTCATTTCATATGCTTAAAATAAATACAAATATTGATTTTGTGATCAGAGAAACCAATTGATTGCTATCATTGGGAGCTTTACCTTGTCTGTATTATAAATTGTATTATGTTAGATTTTTTCAATATTGTCTTCCTGAGTTAACCTAGAACAATATTTTACAGTGTCTTAATCCACTGTGAATTCATATAGTATCATAAAATAACTCAATATTATTCCTGCCTCCAAAGAATACTTAAGGAATCCCCTCAAAAATTTGTTAGACATACACAATTCTGTTCTAAGTCTTGATGACATCATTTTTTAGACCTCTTAAAATCAATTTGCCCTAAAATTTATTTTATACATAGAATCTCAACTACTTTCATTGTAAAGACCCTTGTATGTTTATTCAAACACAGAAATGTAAGTGATATTTTATTTAGACAGTTTTAAATGGTTGTAGCATTTCATTTAAAGTATCAGTGTGGCCTGTGATGTGTTATTCATTCTGATGACTTTAAGAAGGAATGGTCGTTGACTTTAACTAAATGTGTTAATATGCCTTCTTTGAATTTCCACAGAGCTCTGTACCATGGAGTGTGGTAGCCATGGGGTCTGCTCAAGGGGAATATGCCAATGTGAAGAAGGCTGGGTAGGACCAACATGTGAGGAACGCTCCTGTCACTCTCACTGTGCTGAGCATGGTCAGTGCAAAGATGGAAAATGTGAGTGTAGCCCTGGATGGGAGGGCGACCACTGCACAATTGGTAAGTATCAGCATACTGTGAATAATGTAAGTTTGGCTAATTGAAGAACTAAGAACATTCTAGTGAGTCAGTTGCCATAATATTCATAGAATTTGAACTTCGAGTAGAGGAGAAATATTGGCTACAATTTTTTTTTTTTTTTTTTTTTTTTTTTTTTTTTTTTTTGTGAACAGGGAGATTTCTTCTTTAATAATATAGCACTGATTTCTTCTGTGATTTTTTTCTCATTACTTCAGTGTTCCTTATATTTCTTCTCTAAGCCACTTTGAGTTACTCAAATGAAAGATAATATATTGGGATAAAATATCATTAGTTAATGAGACAAATGCTTTTGTTGACAGTAACATTCACTGTCCATTTTTCCTTTTGAAGAGTATAAGTTATTCTCACTGAAAGCAACTACAGGCAATTTCATTCAATGCAACTACTTTAACAGAGGCCATTTGATATCATTAGAAGCTGTTTTAATGTACATGAAAAAGGCACTCCTGACAATTATCAATAGAACATCTGTGTTCAATTGTGTATCTTTATTCAGAAGTACAAAGTTTATGTTGAAGTATTCAGTGTTTCTCACAGCCTTGTCATCAATTCACAAATTTTCAAGCCATAGCCAGACATAACACTTAGGCAGGGGGATGCCTATGAAGTAATTAACATATCATGTGATATTCACAATATGAAAGCCATTACTAATAATTAAGATTTCTAATGTAAAACAGTTCTTCAATTCTTCAACCAATGCCTTCTATTTGTGTACATATCTGCCACAGAGGTTTCTTGTATCTTGTCTTAAATATATATATATATAGTTTCTGTGATAAAATACCTTGAGAAAACCAACTTGGGAGAGAGTTTATTTTCACTCACAGTCCCAGGTTACAATCCGTCATAGTAAAGAAGTCATAGTAACAGGAGCTTTCAAGAGTTAGGTATATCACATCCCAAATCAGGAGCAGAACAGAGTGAATGTATGCATGCCTGTGCTCAGCTCACTCTTTCCTTTCTTATACAATCCAGGATCCCCACATAGGGAATGGTAACACCCATATTAGTCCAGTATTCCCATCTCATAAAGATAGCCCCACATAGGCATGCCCACAGGCCAACCTGGTCTGAACATCCATTACTGAGACTCCCTTCGCAGATAATTCAAGGCAGTGTGAAGTCACATTCAAAACAATTGTACACATCCAATGGGATAAATACAATTGTACAATTCCCATTGCTCTACGAAGGAGATAGGGTCACAGTTTTCTGTTGGCATTTCCATAATTAGGCAGAAAATGCACATCAACCAAAAGAAGCAGTTATCTTTTGGCTTTGGTAATTTATTTTTATTTTTAAATTATCCATATAATATTGTTAGTATATTTTTCTCCTCTAATAACTCTTCCAAAACCTCCCATCTCCCTACTCACCCAACTTTATGTTCTTTCTCTCTTAAAAGAAAAAAGGCAAACCCAAATATATACACAAATTACACCCAAAAATGTTGTTTGTGTTGACTTACTACTCCTGAACATGGACCTGCCTTGACTAAGCTGTTTGATACACAATTCATTGTTAGCTTTTCCCCCCTAGTACACTGTGCTGTGGCTATCACTCTTAGGTGATATTATTTGTTATAATGGTTTGAGCTGTCAAAGCAATGCATAATATGTATGAATGTATATATGTGCATGTATGTATGTATATATACATATATATACATATATATACATATATATATATGTATTTGTGTGTGTGTGTGATTTAAATAAATTGCACTACTATTCTACAACAGGTGCAGTAAGTCTTGTTCTATGGCTGTGGAAATAGTTAAGATTCATTAAAAACGTGGTGAGGGGTGATTCAGATGCAGCTTAAATAATTACATTCTGCACTACAGTAAGTTTATTGCCTTCACATGAGACTATTTAAATATTATGATAATCACCAAAGGTGGTTGCTCCAGAAATCTCTTCTAAAGATATTTCTAATAAGAAGATAAAGCTAGTCCTCTTTCATAGAAGTTATTACAGAAATATAAAAAAATAAAGTTCTTATACTTTTAGTGAAATATGACACTTTTTAAGGAAGCCTAACAGAATTTCTTATGGAAAAAAGACATTAATAACTTTCCCACAGAAGATATTATTCACAAAATACACAGGCCACTGTACCAAATTTTGAGCTGCAGGCATTTCAACAAATCATAGTTTGCCATTCTTTTTCCAGACAACAGATGGTAAACCATTAGTATATGTTGCATAATTTTGGTCTCCCAGAAATTTATTCAATCATTCTTTCCCCCCTTCCCCTTTAGCTCACTACTTAGATGCTGTTCGAGGTAAGACTTTTTTCTTGACAGAAGAAACATGCATGTGGGTCAACAAAGGTGGTGTTTGGGTTTTATTTCTTTGGTTTTGTTTGATTGCTTGGTTAGATTATCTCTGGTTTGCTCTTTGGATAATTTTATTTAAATGTAATACTGCTGTGTTTCCACTAATGAGACTACACAATAACTTGTTTTTCTAACATCCAAGTCATTGTTGCTACAGTATAGAACAGATTGGCAATTATAAGGAATCTTTTTCTGTGTATTTTTTTGTAACAAAAGAAAATGTGGTTGAGTATTGCATATGCTCATATGCCTACAGACAATTATTAAATAAAGTAAGTTGAGGTAGACAGGTGAAGTATTCTTTAAAACAATACATCTTCCTGTCCATGTATAAAATTCTTATGTCCTTCTAAAGGCAGAATTTTCCCCTTATAATTACCTATCTGTGTCCTCTGTCTGTCCAGGGATTGACCTTTGACAGAAACAAGAGATTTTCTGTCAGATATGTAGTGTTTTTCTGTCCCAAATCCCTTTGAGTTTTATTTTCTTCATTGAGTTCCTATTAGAATAGAAGTAGAGAAATTCCTTTTTCAAGGCTATGTATACTCATTCTATGTCATGACTTGGGGAAATATCACTCATAAATCTTAACATTCTTTCTGTCTGCCATCTGCTACTTTTAAGTTTTATTTCCTTTCTTGGGCTATTGATAATTACTTGGAAATCCATTTTGGAAAGAAGATGGTATTACTTATACAATATTTTAAACGTATGTTTGTCTTTATCCTTCTGAAATTTTCTTTTGAAGACATACTGTAAAAAGTATACTGATTGGACTACTGCTAGTAAAAGGCAGGTCTTGTCTTGTATGACTATTGGGAAAATATTCAAGATATGTATATCATTTTTGTTTTTGTTATTGTTGTGTCCATATATCTGCCACTGATCACTTAGAACATGCAAAGCTTCCTTTTGATAGAGCCTACCTCTGAACTATTCAGGAGGTACTAAAAAAAAGAAAAAAAGGAGTCTAATTCTAAAGAAGCATCATTGTCTGTATTCGTGTATTCGTGTTTTAGTAATTAGCTAAAAATGTCCAAATACTATAATTTCTCTTGAAGCATCATTGTCTGTATTCATGTTTTAGTAATTAGCTAAAAATGTCCAAATACTATAATTTCTCTTGACTTTATTTTTCCAGTTAATTTCTAGATTTCTGAAACCCTATGTATGGCATATTTTAATCCCATACATATTTCTTAGCACTTAATATTATTATTATAAATAGAGTAATATGCTGGCTTTATAAGAGATACCGTAGAAGTAAAATTCCCAGTTCTTAGCCCTCAAATCAATAATAATTTTTCAAAATCTGAATAGATGCAAAACAAGTGCAACACATTTCTAAGTGATAAGCAAATACGCCATGGTGTGGTCTGAATTATAAACCAACATACCTATGTCCCGAAGCACTAGTTCACAGGGGAAAATCATCACAGGCTAGAAGTAGTTGAAGAAAGTATCTCTTCATAGAAACTGCTATGTTTCTCCAACTTACTGGCAATAACTAGATACTGCATCATCTATCCAGTTTTGATACAGATGAGGTGATGTGTTTTTCAAAAAGAAACAAAAAAAAAATTCTTGTCCCCACCACAGTTTTCCTCCTATCTGAACCAGAGGTTGGGAATTGGGGTTAGCATTAATAACACTTAATTGGCTCTCTAAGGAAAAACACTGCAATGTCAGGGATAACAAGTTCCCTGGGAAGGTGTTGCAAGTAAGCAAGCTCCTCTTGCATTTATTCAGCACCTCATCTGAACAGAGCCCAGATGATTAAATTCTTCCCTGTAGGCAGATACATCACTGTTGGCCAATCCCATTCTGTTGTCTCTGTGACTGTTACCTTCTGATGTCTTTTCAGATGGCTGTCCAGGGCTCTGCTTTGGAAATGGACGGTGTACCCTGGATCAAAATGGTTGGCACTGTGTGTGTCAGGTTGGTTGGAGTGGGACAGGCTGCAACATTGTCATGGAAATGCTTTGTGGAGACAACTTGGACAATGATGGAGGTGAGTTACTTACAAAACATTCATTTAAGAAAACAATAGACTTGCCTCTTGCACAGAAGTAACCAACCTGACCAAGAGCAAAAATTAAGAATCCTAAGTATCAATAATATTGAGGTATATGAGGTAATATATTTTTCATTTAAATATTATCTTAAAGATATTGGGGTAGGATGGGGGTTGGTGGGAGTATGGGAGGGTTGGAGGGAGAGGGAACTGGGATTGATATATAAAATGAGATGGTTTCTAAATAAAAAAAAGATATATTTTTTTTTGAAAATTACTACAGCTGGGCAGTGCTCCAAATGTTTTGCATGTATTATATCTCATTTACATAAAAAGAAAAGAATGTGTATCAGACATAATATATAAAACATCATGTTCAGTTCTTAAATATAAAAATTTTTCAAGAATTATCTTTTGTCCTCTGAAAGTCAAGAATTACTAAGATGTAGAGTCACAAGAGGGAGCTCTAAATAATCAAGAACAAAAAAATTATTTCATTTTGAGTACATTAGCATCTGAGAACTTAACATCATTGTGATAATTCAGTTTAAAATAACTTTTGTATACTTTCTAAGCAAGAAAACATGAAATTAACAACAAATGCTTTTTTAATTATAGTACCTTGGGTTAAAATGATGTATATTATTAAATGTGGGGCCTGTTTTCTATATTTGTGAGACAATTGCATTTCTTATCACTTCCATCCAAATAAAGAGCCTAAATCCAAAGAGAACAGTTGGAGTTTAGGCATTCATGTGGTTGTAAATTTTTCTTCCTTGGATTGGGAAAATAGCTCAATAGACAGAGCCCTCTGCTCCCAAGCACTCAAGGCAAAGCCGGGGAAACCCTGAAGCAACTGGTAAGCTCTGTATTGGGCGAGAGACTCTGCCTCAATAAATAAAATGACGAGTAATCAAGGCAGCCATCCAATGCCAGCTTCAGTCCTCCACACATGTGTATAAACAAACATACACACATGTATACATAGACATGCACACTGTATATACAAACACAAGCAAAAGAAGTTTCTTCCTTTACATGGATAAGGGAACTAGAATTAATAATATCAAGCATGAAATGCATAGAATGTTGTTATAAGTATTAACTAAGATAATCCATGTAACCACCCTGAAATATAATGGAAAGCAACACACACACAGGGAGGCTGGAGGGAGAATAGCAGTTAACTTCAAAAAATACCATTTCCTACCTATATAAATTGAAAAGGTCATTTTTTTTTTCAACTAAATGGTATGTAAATCAACTGCTTGGCTGAGTTTTATGGCCCTCTAATACTCATCTTTCCTTTCCTTTTGTTTTGTTTTGTTTCATTCTATGCATCTTTTCTGGAACGCCTTTTATTTCTCTGTCCACAATTTAAGTCTCAACTCAAGACACAACTTCCATGAAATCTCTGACTTCTGCCTCTTTAGTCTCCCCTAGTACTTATAATATACACCACACCATCACACACTTAAACATATATCTTTCTGTTTCTCTTGATATGTGTCAGGCATGGCACATGTGCCATAGATATTTATCATATATAATGGATGACAACAGTAATTCACTAGTATGCAGAATTTACTAAGAACCAGGCACTGTGCTGAGAATTTTATGTGAGCCATCTAATTTAACCTCTTTGGTGTAGGAACTTCAGTTGATGATATTTACAAATTATAAAACTAGGCACAGAAACATATATTAAGTTTATAAAGATCATCAAGCAAAGAACTGAGGGATTTTGTAGTACAAGGCTGGGTGATACACCTCATTGGTGTAATTGATACTATCTGTTGTGTTGATTGAAGGGGGTATATTCACAAAATATGTTAACCACCTATGCATTTATAATTTCTGGATCACTTAAAGATGACCCAAGGGCTGGAGAGATGGCTCAGCCATTAAAGGCCAGGTTCACAACCAAAAATATAAGTTGACCTAAAATAAGTTTCCTGACTTTGTCAAGTAATAAAAATAATGGAATATTTAATGACCAAGCATCTTTATGGCTTCAAGGTCAAATCAAGACAGCCAAAGTTGTTTAATGAATGTATTAATTAAACATTAATAGATGACTGAATCATCAATTCTCAAAATCTATGGAATATGTAGAAAAAAATAGAAGATTTTACTGAATGTGTGTTGACCTCTGAGCATTCCTTAAAACTGTGTATCTATATGCAAATTGAAAATCAAAGGCCTGATAAGAGCTGAGCATATCTTATGATTGTCTCTTTAGAGACTAGGGTTAAAAGCTCCATGAGAATTTCAATTACCATTTTTCTTTTAGAGGGACTAAGATAATATTGATGACAAATATAGATTGGCCTCTACTTTAAGATACAAAGATAGATTGAATAAGCACTAAAAGTCCCATGACTAGGATTTTAGGCCAATAATTCCATTTCTGCAATGTTTATATACTATCCTTAAGAATATATTGTCCTTCATTTGGTGATCGCAGCTTCCCAAATTCTCAAAGTGGTGAAGTTTGTTTAGCTGGCTATGACTAAGGATTACTGTATTTGTTTGTATATTTGTGTGTGCTTCAATTAAATAAAAAAAGTCAATTGAATATTCCTGCAAAAAGTAATCACAATTTTAAAAATGCAATTCTTAAGAAATCTTTCAATCAGAAACACATCACTTTCAAGCAGTTGTTTCAAGTAGCTGCTATCTGATTACTCCCTATTACACCTGATACTTAAAACTGTTTGGGATTTTTCTTGCATCCTAATCACCTCTGAATATTCATTAGAACCACTGCTACATCCTGCAGCTTTGACTTTAGTTATACTCTGATCTCAATGCATTGTGACTCTTAGTAAGTAATTGGGCTGCATTGAATATGTAGGTGACACAGCTTCACTGTAAGCTACCTAAGAGGTCCTTGAAGAGTGAAAACTGAGAACAAATAACCTTTGGATTTTTTCCCTAACATTGAAAAAGAAAAAAGGGTTTCTTATTCTCAATACTAATGTACTAAGTACTATAAAAGTCTCAACTCTGTCGGATGCTGTGACCACAGTTATCCCTTGAAGCACTTAGCATTTGCAGAGTCCTAAACATACAAGAGATATAACTTCATGGGATCACCTTTTGATTTTTTAGTCATGTGTCCAGATTGAAATTTTGAAATATGATCATCAACTTTTACAAGCCAAGGGTGGGAGATGGGGGAAGATGAGCATTGTTACTAGCTTCTTCCAAATTGCTAAAAACAAATACTGAGGAAAGTTATCAACAATAAGGTCTGTTTCACAGTTCTCATAATACAAAACCAAAATGGTGCTGGTGTAATAATAGACAGATCAACACAACCAAATAAAAGCCCTGGAATATGCCCAGACACAAATTTAAATTTACTACATCATTAAAACAGCATCAAAAAGTCAATGTGAAGGAGCTGGAGAAATAGCTCAGTAAAGTATTTGCCATACATGCATGATTCCTGTGTCTGATCACCATTACCCATGCAAAAGATAAAGGCCTAGAGTAGTGACAGCACCTGAAATCTCACTGTTGGGGAAGTAAAGAAAGGAAAATCCTAAGGATATGCTAGCCAGCCAGACTAGACAAATTACTCCATGGAATCCAGGTTCAGTAACAGACCTAGTCTCAAATAAACAAAAAATAATAAACGAAACAAAACAAAAGAGGAGACCCAGCAAATAAAGGTACTTGCCACACAAGCCTGTAGACCTGAATTCAATATCCAAATCCCCAAATCCAATGTCAAGTGGAAGGAGGGGCAACTATGATCTTCACACTAGCAGTGTAGTATGTATGCCCCCATACACATGTCATATGTGCACGAGCATGCACAAATACACACACGCATACACACACTTACCCACACATTAAAAAGTAACAAATACTTTTAAATGAGGTAGAGAACAATTGAAGAAGTCAGCCAATATCAACTTTTGGACTCTACAATAATGACACATACACATGTACACACAGACACATGAATACATACAAACAATATGCAAAAAAACATCAACAGTAAAAAAGAATCATTATGAAATATATGATGGTGTTGGGAAAACTATACCTTGTACCTTAAAAAGCAAGAAAAAATGTACCCCAGCTGGATTAATGAATTAAATGCAAAAGAAAATACAAATGATAAATGTTACAATGGAAAAGGAATTCTTAACTATAAAAACAATGGACAATAGACAAAATGTAATATGCCTGACGGTAAAAATTTAAACCATTTTAAAAATGCTTTGTTGGGCAAATGTTTACATCATCCAATATCTAAATATTTGGAAACAGCAAGTTTTCACTGTCTGTGAAATAGCCATGAGTAATTTAACATAAAATCTAGCTGGTTTTAGTCCCACTCATCACATCTCAAATGTACAATAGCTGCATCAGGTTACTCACTGGAGAACACAAAACTAGAGATACACAGCTTTAAATACAATTTAATTGATCAGCATAGATCCACGTGTTATATCAAATTTCACCTTTCAGTCAAATGTTATGCATTGAACACCCAGATTTTCATTCATTCAGTACTGCCTCTTTTATAAGTGTTTTCTTAGCACCAGAGAGGAAATGACAAACAAGATAAGTCTCTGCTTCCATGAAGCAGATACTAAGCAAAGAACCTTATAATGTATTTACATATTTTAAAATTGGAAGAGTTCTATAAAAAATAGAGGGTGAATAAATATGCATAGAGGGCATAACAAAATCTGGGAAATAAGGAAGACCTCACTTGGTTCCAGAGAAGAATGTTTAAAACAGTAGGAACTTTGAGGTTAATACATCTAACAATGAGCTTCTGGGGAGGATGGAACGCAGCCATGATTTCTGGACCACAGGAAGTCAAGGATACAGCACTACTCAAAGGTGGATAGGGACCAGACCACACAGAAGTCATGTTTGTAGGATCTTCAGTCAAACCATGAGGTCCTTTGGAAGCTCATCCAATGCTCTTAAGCACTCATAGAGATCTACCTCCTGCCTCTGCCTCTGCC